TAAAAGGACCATTTCACAAACCTTTACTTCAAAAGTAGATAAAATTAACTACAGTTTATTAGATACTTGCCAAATTCACTTGTGTTCAAACATCTGTGAATGTTGGCAATACATAAAGTTCATGAGTGTAGCCTAGATCAATGAGATAGATTAGAACCAACAGAGATTCAAAAGCATTTCAAAGCATTTTGATGCATTTGGGTATAGCAAAAAAACAAAATAGTAGATATTTAGATATTGAGAAGTTTCCAGCACAGATTAGAGAATCAAACACCATTGTAAAATAACTGACCCCAACCCCAAACCTGCTAAAATAGATTAGCTCTTGTAAGGATAATACTAATTTAATTAATGAAGTACAATCATCCCAAACTGCCTGAGAGGAGGAAGTGACAGCACTTTCTGTTTCAACAAATGTATTTGGAAAACTGACCGCCATAATAATGTTCATATTAACCATTTGTCTTTCTGTGTTCACAGTTTTATTCCTGAGAATGTAGAATAGACATGGAGCAAAATCCCACTAACAATATGCCACTGATAATGAAAATAAACAAGTACAGAGAGATTTATTAGATTAAAATGTATGTTTAAGAATATGGCTCAATAAAAGCAAATATGCAAACATATTTGTAAATAGATTAGAATAGTTTTAAACTATAGTGAATCATGAAAGTAAAGTACACAGAGTAAGATTAAAAAGTGATAATAATACAGTGAAATAAGTGTAGTGTAGTGTAAACAATTAGCATTAGAATAAAAGTAGAGTAATAAAAGTGAAATTAGCTTCAAATTGAGACTCAGCTCGTCTTTGTCTGTGTTTTGACTGAATCTGCTGAGTTCTTGTGTGTCCAATAGTGTTTGTTTGTTTTTATTTTTGTTTGTTTTTGTTTTTTGTTTATTTATTTACTTGTTTTGTTTTGTTTTTTTCCCAGGATAGAGTTTAAAATCCACTGATATTGATTTGATTTGATAATCATTAGTTGAATGCATACATTTTCTTTGTTTTTTAAAGTGTTTTTTAAAGTTTTTTGTTCTTTTCTTTTTTTTTCCACTTTATTGATTGATCAAATTGAGTGATCACATGTGATTATGTGATCAAAGGGGTGAGTGTTAGTATTAGATAGCAATATGGCCTACGTGCAGGACTGTACAAGGACTCTGATTATTTTGACTATGATGTGACTGTCTTTGTGTGACACGTACGTCTTTCGATGTGTGACGTGATAATGACTATATAAACTGTGTACTGCCTTTATTCTGTCTGAGAGAAAGAAACAATGGAAACCACTGGAACTTGAGAGAAGCTTAAATAAACTTCCAGAGTTTGGCGCACCACGATCCGTCTCTGTTTGCTTCATCCCTGACACAAGGACCAGGGTCATCTATAACAATGACAAACCCTGGTTCACTGCTAAACTCCGGCAGCTCAGGAAAGCAAAGGAGTCTGCTTTCAGGGAGGGGGACCGCAGCGGCTACAAAGCAGCTAAATATCAGTTCAGGAAAGAACTGAAAGCAGCCAAGTCCCGGCACAGAGAACGACTACAGGAGCAGTTTGGTAACAACGATACTGCTTCTGTCTGGAGGGGCCTACGGGAGATCACCAACTACAAACCCAAAGCCCCCCCCTGTGCTGACGACCACAAGCTAGCTGACGAACTGAACTTATTTTTCATTCGCTTTGATGCTGCCCCTGACACCTCTCCCTCCCCCACCCCCCACTACTCTAACGACCCACCCATCAGCCCTGCTCCCAGCCTAACAATAGCCGCTAAAGAGATTAAACAACTCTTCTTGAGGCTGCACCCCCGCAAAGCTCCTGGCCCGGACCACGTGTCTCTGGCCACTCTGAGATACTGCGCCAGTGAGCTTACTCCTGTGTTCACTGACATTTTCAACACCTCTCTGCAGTCCTGCCATGTCCCGGCCTGCTTCAAATCCTCCATCATTGTCCCCGTCCCGAAGAAGCCCAGGATCACAGGACTCAACGACTACAGACCTGTAGCACTTACGTCTGTCGACATGAAGTCATTTGAACGCCTGGTTCTCTCCCATCTCAAGTCCTTCACCTTCCCCCTCCTGGACCCCCTGCAGTTCGCCTACAGAGCCAACAGATCTGTAGACGACGCCATTAACCTGGCCCTCCACCACATCCTACAGCACCTGGACTCCCCGGGGACCTACGCCAGGGTCCTGTTCGTGGACTTCAGCTCTGCCTTCAACACAATCCTGCCATCCCTGCTCCAGGACAAGCTCTCCCAGCTCAACGTGCCCGATTCCACCTGCAGGTGGATCACTGACTTCCTGACGGACAGGAAGCAGCGAGTGCGTCTGGGGAAGAATGTCTCGGACTCTCGGATTATAAATACAGGAGCCCCACAGGGTTGTGTTCTTTCTCCCCTGCTCTTCTCCCTGTACACCAACCACTGCACCTCCAGCCACGACTCCGTGAAGCTGATCAAGTTCGCGGACGACACCACCCTCATTGGACTCATCTCCAACAACGATGAGTCCGCCTACAGGAGGGAGGTGGACCGGCTGGTGTCCTGGTGCAGTGGTAACAACCTGGAGCTGAACGCCCAGAAGACAGTGGAGATGATTGTGGACTTCAGGAAGAGCACAGTCCTCCCGCCCCCACCCTCCGTGATGGACTCCCCCATCACCTCTGTGGAGTCCTTCCGTTTCCTGGGCACCACCATCACCCAGGACCTCAAGTGGGAGCCGACCATCAGCTCCCTCATCAAGAAGGCCCAACAGAGGATATACTTCCTGCGGCAGCTCAGGAAAGCCAAGCTGCCTGCACAGATGTTGGTGCAGTTCTACACGGCCATCATCGAGTCCATCCTCACCTCCTCCATCACCGTGTGGTTCGCTGGAGCCACAGTCAGGGACAAACAGAGACTACAGCGCATTGTGCGCTCTGCAGAGGAAGTGATCGGCCGCAGCCTTCCATCGCTGCAGGACCTGTACGTCGCCCGAGCTCGAGGCCGGGCTGGTCGTATCACAGCCGACCCCTCTCACCCTGCACATGGACTATTCCATCCACTCCCCTCAGGCAGAAGGGTTCGGTCCATCAGGACTAGAACCTCCCGCCACAAGAACAGTTTCTTCCCCTCTGCTGTTGGACTCTTGAACACTTCTTAACCTGTCCCCCCGCCCTTTATAAAGTCACTTTACTGCCCATCATACGTCACTTTACTTCACTGTACTGCTGTCACCTTACATTGTGTGCACCATGTGCACTTGTATATTGTAAATAGTAACTGTAACTCTATTTTAAATTTAAATGTATTCTTTAGAAGTGTTTTTTATTCTTATTTTTATTATCTCTTTTTGACTGTTGCACTGAGCCAAAGCAATTTCCAAGTCTGTGACCTGTTACTTACGTGGCAATAAAAATGATTCTGATTCTGATTCTGATTCTGAACACATCACTCTGGATTGTATTCATGGGTTATTTTGCATGTTGTCCCCAGTGGGGGCGGGTCCCGGCTCAAAAGTGGCCAAATTGACGTGGGATGACATGCCCCCACTGCTTAAAACACACTCAACAATATAGATTATAGAAGATTATAATGATGGAAATTAAACTTCTTGTGACATGGGCTTTTTCTGTGATGTCGTTTGTTCCACAGTGAAGAAATGTCATCAACATCCAGCATGAAAAATGACAAAAATACATTGATATATGACACTTGCCTTGTGTTAAAAGTAATTTTAAACCGTCTTTATCAAAGCCTTTACACCTAATACCGTCTTATTAATAGAAAATATGAAATATTTAATAAAAAATGAAATGTGAAATATTGAATATGAAATATTTGATATTAACAAGAGTCTCGTTATTATTACAGCCTCTCTCTTAAAGTCTATGTTTGGTTTTGTTGTTATAATAAACTGATGAGGTTTTAGAAAAGTACCGGGTCCGCACCTTTTGCAGAGATCGTGCCAACAGTGAATATGAATGCAGCTCTGCAGGTTTGAAGAGACGACTATAAACAAGACTATAACATCTGAGTATTGTTAAAGATTGAACTGAACAATCAAAAGTCCACTCTGTGTCTGTGGATCTTTGAGACTTTTTGTGCAAATGTCCTAAAACAGTTCAAACAAAAGTCTGTAGAAAGTGATGTTCCATGTGAGGCTTTGGTCTGAAGGTAGAAACAAACGTATCTACAGTCGCTGCGGCAGACTGTTTCTGCTGAGACACGACCACAAAACTCTGCATCTTTAAAGTTAGAAATCCTTTACTTGTCCCACACTGAGGAAATGTCAGTGTTGCATCACCAGTTACAGAACAGTGGGAATGAGGGTCACACCGCACATGATACATGATCAATAACTCTATACTACCATAGAATACATCTCTAACTTTAGCGTTAATAAAGAAGCAAGTATAAAATCTGTAACTTTAGCGTTAATAAAGAAGCAGATGTGAAATCCTGTATATTCTCGAGGATACATGTATAGTTGTATGTTTACATCTGTACATCAGCAGCATGAGGCTCTGGGACACAGCGACCGTGACACATGTGGGGGTCGACTCCTACAGGTGTTCGATCCTACTTCAAGAAACAGTGGCTTAAATCTGAGGTTTGCTTCTGTTTGAAATGCAAGAAAATATGTGTTTTTTACTGGAGTAAAACTGTGGAACGATCCTAATGACCATACAGCTAAACACATTATCAACATTTAAAAAATACATTAATATAAAAACTGTTCATGTGTTTACTTTATTGCCTTAATAAAGAAAAAGTGAAACAATAGAATATAATCTGCCTCAAACAAATCTGTGTTTTGAGTAAAAATCAATGCAACACATGTATTTATTTAATACTGTTGTGTTTGAGAAACTAATATATTGTCTGTGACGTCAGGGTGGGCTCACATCAGGGTGGGCTCACATCAGGGTGGGCTCACATCAGGGTGGGCTCACATCAGAGTGGGCTCACATCAGGGTGGGCTCACATTATTCATATGTCACTCACAGTTGAAAATGGTCAGGTCCTGTAGATTGAGCAGATGCAGTGAGCAGGAGCGACCAGCAGAGGGAGCCATGACACAGTGACGTCTGTCTCTGTCTCAGCTGAAAGACTCATAACCCAAACCTTTACTCTGTTCTCAATCCTATGACCCTGACCGCTATTGTAAAACTATTATGACCAGATTCAGGCTGAGCTTGTCCATATGGATTAATCCTTGATGGAGCTGAAGTTGGCTTAATGACACATATTTACCGTCTCACATTAGGACCAGATATTGAACAGCAATATAAAAGATGGATACAACGCGGCCCTCTGGGTAATGTGATGTGGACTCCGCCGCTAACCTTAAGTCTTAGTCTTTGAGATCAGAAACACAAGTGCATAGTGTCATCCAGCCAACTTCAGCTCAGAACCTCTAGAATTCAGCTGTTGGATTTAATTGTATGTACAGACATTTGTTTTTGACACCAAATTCTATATATGGCACTAATGCAGCTGGTGAGATAGAAAACATTTGTCATTCAGCCAACTTCAGCTCTGGATTATGAATCACAGAATCCGGTCAAAACAGTTATACAATTCATATTCTCAGCTCCTGGACAAGTCTGGTGAACTAAAGTGTCCTCTTTCTGAAAGGCTTGGACACCTCTGGTCTAAAGCTCCCAAAGAAATGATAAACACGTGGATCACAAAAAAAAAAAAAAATTGACAAATCAGAGAGCATCAGACGTGTTTATCCGGGTCCTTCTCTTTCTGTCACACACTGTTCTCAAACAAACAAACTAATGACTCATCAACAACAGAAAATACAAAGTTTTTTGGCAACATTCAGGGTCCTCATTTACAAAGTGCGTCGGTAAAATAGCTGTATGTGGCTTTTCATGGAAAATTGGCCAAAAAATGTGAATTTGGTAAAGAAAAAAATAAAGAAAGAAATCATTGGAGAAATTTGGTAGATATAAGGTGATCTGAGAAAAGAGAAAGTTTGAGGAACTTTGTGCAAGTCTTTGTTTTGGCCAAACCTAAACTCAACATTTCAACATAGGTTTTTTAAACATGAGGCCCCTGAACAGTGAGGCCATAAGGCAAACATCAGTAGAACACAGATTATTTTACTATTTTACAATGCTCCTTAGACCTCCATCATAACCCCATCGACATAGAGCCGTGCAATTCTCCAGTTGAGCTTAAAATCTGGAAATTATGGATTTTCTAAATGCATGGCTTAGAAGCTAATACGGAAATGACTCCAGAGATATGAGACAAAGTCCCCGGCAATCAAATGGCGGCTCTTTCATCTCAATAACAAACATACAAATGTTTACAAAAAACATAATTGCCATCTTAACACAAATCTATTGTCCTTCTTAGTTTCTGAGTAAAGGTGAAGGTACATTTAAGTTATACTCTGCATTTGAACCATCCTGAGTGACACTAATAATAATGATGAATAAGTTTTATACAGCGCTTTTCTGGACACTCAAAGACGCTTCACATGTCAGTATTCTTTGACTTCAAACACGGTGGTGATAAACTACCACTGTAGCCACAGCTGCCCTGGGGCACACTGACAGAAGCGAGGCAACCAGTCTGTGCCATCAGCCACACACACCAGACTCATTCTATTGTGGGTGAAGTGTCTTGCCTAAGGACACAACCACAGTCTGGAACTTGACAGCCGCAGCCGCTGGTGGTCCCAGAGGTCTCCCATCACAGTAGACTAACCAGGCCCTGCCCTGCACAGTGTCAGAGGTCAGGGCAGGCCCATAGTTTCTCACTTGGTGCAGAGGTGTTAAACCAGTTCTCAAAGGGCCATTGTGGCTGCAGGTTTTCATTCCAACCAAGCAGGAGACACCACCAACCCTGACTAGACTCACGAGAGGAAATGGGTGGAGTCTGGTGTGCTCCTGCTTGGTTCTTCTTTACCTGTTTCAGTTCTTCCTGTGTTTCATTTACTTTAATTATTTCTTGAGTGAAGGCACCATTTTCCTGCACCATTAGGTCAATCTTCTGGAGTAATTCTAGAACCTGTTTGTCACCGTCATTGGTTTCATTTCTATTCTTTATCACATGAAACCTGTTTCTACATTTCTCTAATATATCCTTCACTATGTCCCCACATTCCTCTATGACGTTCTCAATAGTGTAATTTTCACTCAGTTCATCTCCTCCGGTGAAAACAATCATTACATAATCAATCGCCTTTTCTCCAAGACTCTTGTGGATCATCTGCAGAGAGTTACGGTCCTCTTCATTAATCTTTCTGATCGGCAGCAGCAGTAAGAAGGCGTGAGGTCCTGGAGACAGCTGAGACATGCAGTTATAGAGCTCTTCACTGAAACTGTCTTCAAACAAAGGAGGAGTGTTCACCACTGTGACAGTGCGGCTCTGGACCTGCCGACTGACCTTCTCACATTCTTTTGGCTGAGCAGCTTCAGGCACAAGACATTTTTCTCCCAGAATAGTGTTTGCAGTAGTACGTTTCCCACTGCCTCTTTTCCCAATCAGAGCGATCCTCAAACCCTCTGAGCTCGGCATCTCTGCTGCGTTCTCTATAGAACTGTGATTGAACTTGCTTTCAATGAGAGCTTTAACAAACATGTCCTTGGTGTAAGCACTACGGCGTTTGTCCACAACCTTCAGCAGCTCCTGGACCTGCTGAGTGCTCGTGTTCAGACGCAGGGTTTTTTTTATTGACCTTTGATCCAGTCCTATGGAATCTATAAAAGTGATCTTAAAGTTATTCAAATCTGACCCCAGATGCAAGACCACAGTGAATTCATTGATCCGACTGCTCAACGCTCTCTCTAGTATTTCTAACTCACTCTTGTCTTTGTCATTGGGCCCATCTTGTGGTGTGATCATGATGAAGGCGTGGACGCCCTCAGGACACAGGGACAAGCAGTAGTCGCATTGTTCCAACACTTTCTCTGGAGATTTTCCAGACAGAGCTGGAAGCTCCACCACAGACCTCTTAAATATGAATAAATGTGATCTACTCGTTATAGTAATTCTAGTTTTAATTTCCATAAACAGGACATAGAAATAAACAGCTAAACTCACAGTGTTTATAAACTAATGTAAAATCATTTTAACACAGAATCAGTAAAAACAGAAAAGTTCAGACTCTCCATGAAATCAGACGTTTCTCTGGATTCTTTTCTGACTGAAGCGACAGTCGACTGAACTGACGGCGTGTTCCAGAACTCGTTTGTCCAGTTTTCATGTTTTCTCTCCTCCTTTTGCTGCATGTGACGTCGTTTCCTTGAGTTTTAATGAGGTGAGGTTTGTGCTGTTCCTCATAACAGAGAAGAGATAAACCAGAAAAACACACTCTGACTGTGGATAGATAAATGTTGTATTTTATTATATTGTCTTGCAAACAAGGATGCCAGTCCACATGGGACACCATAAGACATAAGACACCATCAGCACAAATACAACGATACAAGCAAAGTTAGGGCTGGGCAATAAATCAAATTTAGGCAATTAATCGGCTTTTGAAAAAATCAAATTTGTGAAAAATGTGAAAATCGTGAAATCGAATGAAGGATATTGTGAGAGTTCCAGTGACACATGAATCATACTTGCAATATCAGCACAGTCTGTACAAGACTTTTATCATACGCATTGGGGGAAACAAATTAAAAATAGTTTTGAAACTTGAATATTAAGGGGGGTGGCAGTCAGAGCTGCACCCAGTACACACAGCACACTCACTGATGCTCCTGCAGGTGCTGAGTCCACAGGAGCCAGCCTTATTTCTATTGCAGTGCTAGACTCCTCATCCTAACTCTGCTGTAACAAACTGAAGAGGAAATGTTTGTTCATATCTTTTACATTATCTCTCCGCACCCTTTAGCTGAGATCCTGCCAACATGAAACTTGACTGGAAGGTAATTCTGGTTCTGTGAGAAGGAGGCAAACCACAAAACTAACTTACACCAATTTTTACAAACAAGACTTAAAGAGCACATCCATCCATCCATCCATTTTCTACCCTTTAATCCATTTCTGGGTCAGGGGGGTGGCAGTCAGAGATGCCACCCAAGTCTCATAGCACCAGCCCCTCACTGACCCTCTGCAGGTGGTGAGTCCACAGGATGATGGCTGCTCTCTGGGTGTGAGCATAGCCTTGATCTTTCAGTGGGGGCTTTGGGCAAAGTGGGGTTAAGTGTCTTGCCCAAGGACACAACGACAGCAGTCATCAGTGGGAGTCGGTGGAGAAGGTGTAGAGGTGGGAATTGAACCCACAACCTTCAGGCCTGAAGGCCAATGCTCTACCAACTGAGCTACTGTCGCATGTAAAGAGCACATGTGAAGCTAAATCTTTTGAGCTTTCCACCTCCGTGTTTGCAAATCTACATGTGCAAATCCACACAAATAACTTTGTCCATTTTATCAAGTATCAAAAAAATTCAATTCTGGGCCCAAAACTCTTTCTGGTCTCTCTCTCTCTGGTCCGTCTTATCTCTTTCTGGTCTATCTCTAGTCTCACTCTCCTTCCTCTCTCTTGTATCTCTCTCTCGGGTCTCTCTCTCTCTAGTTCGATTGCTAACCTCACAGCCCTGGTCTGGGTGACCACAAACGTATACAAATAATAGAATTATTCACACGCAGAAATAACACAATGATTATTTTTGCTCTCTGCTGCTCTGCACAGATCCAAACCTTATCCTTTTGATGTCACTGAAACCTCATTTTAAAACGCTGGTATAATTCTCATGAGGCATCTCTGGTAAATCCATGTTGACGCTGCCACCCCTGCTCAGCGTCTGCAGGTTTTGTCTTCAGATTATCTTCTTGCATCACTCACGTCTTTTGTCTGTGCGCTAAAACTGCTCTAAAATCCCCAACAAACTCTCAAAACATCAAAAAGCACGCATTCTATCTCTCCCAAAAGATGCATCAATGTGAAATCCACTTGACGGCCGTGGAGAGTTAGCCTTAGCGTTAGCTTGTTCCCAGCAGGAAGTTATCCCAGTTTGCACAGATATTTGGATGCACGCAGATTAGCTTTAGGCAGTGACACATTTCTGAAGGGCTTTTGGATCTTTTGGTCTGATCTCAGGTTCAATTATTCAATATTTGGCTGTGAAATAATCGGTCTACGAATAGAACGTCATATGGGTCTTGATGTCTAGGGCTCAGAATGCTGGAAAATAACCCAGGATATTTTCAATAAAAAATACTACTCAACAAATAACATCCAAATGATGAAGGACCATTGATTTGTCCTAGTGTTATAACAGTATACCGCCTCTTGTCCCTATTTTTGATCGATTTGACACCGACACCAGTTGGTTAGATCACTGTAACAGCTGCTCACTGGTCTCTCCAAACACTGCATTATATTCAAAACGCAGCAGCTTCAGCCCTGAATAAAACCAGGAAGTACACCCTCATTAGTCCTGGTCTCAGGTCTCTGCTTCCTGTGGCTCAAAGAACAGACTTTAAAACATCTCTTTTGAACAAGTCTCTTCATGGCCTCGCACCAAAGTACATCTGTCAGTCTCTCTCTGGTCAATCTCTCTGGTCTCTCTCTAGTCTTTCACTGGTCTCTTGCATCTCTCTCTGGTCCTGGGTGCACTGTGCTATGGTGTTCCTCTCTGTCTTCTCGTGAAAATCCGACACAGGTCTAAACAACACACCAAACATCCCCACAGTTACCCGCGGTTAACACACTATTTCAACGCGTGTCGAGCCGCAGTGGAATACAGCCTTCTGTGTCTGTGGATCTATAGCTTCCCTTGTGCCTTTGAGCCTGACACTGTCTCTGGTTCTATGGGAGTGAGCTTCCCTGCCGAGCACACACATTTACAAACATAAAAGTGTGATGGTCCGAAACTCCGAACACAGAGAGGATTGTGCTGACGAGTCCAGACAGATCGCTCTCTGTCCAGGCCTCGAGAATGACTCTTGTTCCTCTGAGAGCTCGAGGAAGAATGATCTTTATCAGTGAAGGCACCAGTGAGGACTGAGGAATATTATGGGATTGTTACAAAAATTCAATTCAATTCAATGTATTTGTGTAAGGCCCTAATGCACATCAGCAGTCGTCTTGGAGGTCTTTCGAAAGTTGTTGATTCGTCAGCAACAGCATCAGAGACCAGAGACACCACAGAGAGACCAGAGAGAATCCTAAGAGAACAGAGAAAGAGAGACCTGAGAGTGACCAGAGAGACGCAAGTGAGAGTAACAACCCAAACACTGACGGCGAGAGCCTCACTCACTCAAACACAGCTCCACGGTCACTATGCAGAATATTGCCTCTTGTGTGACACGTACAGTTATATAAAAGGCTGATGTAAATTACAAATGATAGTAGAGCATTGGTTTCTGAACCTAATGGTCGTGGGTTCGATCCCCTCACGACCCATGTCATCAGCTCCACAATGCAGCCCGCGGAAATTCAATTTGGTAGACGTCAGCCAAAGTTACCCCCTCCAGGCCGGTTCACATCCCCAGCCTATCGCACAGCAAACGCCCCCTTCCAATCACCGTACCGGCCAGGCAGCCGCTTAAAAGCGGAGAAACTCCCACTCTCGGCCTTATCGAAGCCTTGCAACCACCGCCTCCCCTCCTCCTCCTCACCCTGCCTCCAATCTGCCTTCAATCCGCTTCCCGCTGCCAAATGCCGCCACCAATGCCTAGGTCCCGGGGGATTGGCACGCTCCATCGCAGGAGCCTCTCCGATCTGAAGGCCGCACCGGGGCCTAGGGCGCCAAACCTCCTCCCAATAAAATACTCAAAAGCTTCTTGTTTTCTCGTCTCTCCAAATTGAATTGCCTGAAGTCCCCACTGAAACACCAACGCCATATCATTGACGAAGTAGCAGCCATATTCCTGTGGACCCACCACCAGCAGGAGGAACAGAGAGGGGCTGGTGCTGTGAGAGTGGCAGCTCTGATTGCCACTCCCCCAACACAGAAATGGACTATTAGAGGGGATGAAAATGACCTGACATGACAAACTAACAAAATTTCCACTGTTCAAAGATATAATGTATGTTTTTGTACCTTTTCCGTAATTTTTTGCAGAAACTTGACTTTGAAGAATAGGATGAGAACTGAAGCGTGTGCCGCAGCAGCAGGAGCAGATGGAGAAACAGGAGTGAGGCCTCAGATTAACTTTACTCCCACTGAGAAACTCCTTCAGAATCTAGCTCTGGTTTGTCTGGACAACAGCGACACTGGCTTTGTTTAGAGCTGGGGTACTTTAAACAAATACAAGTTTTAATTCTGTTTTGTTCTACAAGCACAAATTTAAGTGCTAAAATACACAACACAATTACAAAATTCAAAATCAAGTTAAAGAAGGATTGGAGTAAATAACGTAGAATATTTGTAATTGAATTCACAGAGATATAAGATAAACGTTACCTGAAGATAGCATTAGTCAAATACAAAGTTAGCAAACTAGCTATAACAAACCTATGTAGCAGTATTAGTATAGCAGACCAGAGAGAGTTTAAAGAGAGACCAGAGAGACCAGAGGGAATCACATACAAATGCAACAAAATGTTGCTGGATCGGTCGACAGTTACATATAAAAAAGAATGATCTCACAAGTCGAAGTTTAGCTCAGTAATTTGATAACATGTGATTTTATTCTGTTTTTAATGTATTTATTGATGTCTCTGATTTGTGTGATATTATGTGGGTTGTGAGGCGCTTTGAGTGGCCTTGTGTTGGAAAGGCGCCATACAAATAAAGTTGATTGATTGATTGATTGAACATAACTTACCTTGATATTCTCAGTGCTGGTTTCATGTTGCACAAACGAGAGACTCAACATTGGATTATTCTCTCCAAAAGAACATGTCTGACTTTATTAAGAGTCTAAGGTGTTTCTTCAGCGCAGAAATGTTAGTGATTCGGAAAACACGTGTCGATGCACAGAGCTTTCCCAACTTCTTAGGTACAGTAGGAGCCACATCACTGAAGCAGGCTTTCTGATTGGCTGAAGCTCGT